TTATTGTCACGTGATATTTGTGACCTGCCCATCTCTCCATCCATCATAGCTCTCATCGTCTCTCCACCATCCTTTTACTCTACGGCTCAAGTTTCTTTCAGATTCTCACTCCCATCGCATCGCGGAACCTGCTAACGCTTAAACGGTTTATAAACAGTTTGGCAATTTATTAAACTGGCAGTCAGAATTCTTTAAATACAGACCGTGAGATATATATATTGATATGCTTGCATTACGCAATTTTAAACTTTGTTTTTAGACAAATTAGAAATTTTGATTATTAAAAATTTCAATATCTCGCTCAAGTGACCGCATTCGTATATAAAAATATATTCATTTGATACAAAAATGTTGCAGAGTAGACGAGTGAGAGAACTACTTAGAAATAAACTACTTAGAAAGACTATAGGTATTACACAAATCAGAGAAACTTAGTGAAAGCAGATTTTACTTCCAATTAACGTGATTAAAAAAGGTTAAGTTTTCACACTGTTGTACATACAATTAGTACGAATAATTGGAGAGATTGTCACCAGCTCGTATAATGAGAAATAAGATTTTTAAATGACAATAAGATGTGTTTATTTTTACGATCATTTATAGTTGACTCTGCGACATATGTTATCGCCTTTTTTGTAAATTTTTACACTTTCTTTCCTTTTACGAGTGTGGAATAACAGATATAGGAACCCTCAATGTCTTTTATTCCCTGTTAGAAAGGGGAAGATACGAAAAGCATGGCGAGAGATGCCTATCTGACAATATCGTCGCCATTCTAGAGAGCTTCACCTTCGAACATTTGCATAAAATTATTATTGCTGTAGAAAATCACGGTTGTTTCACTTTCTTTATGGAACATATCGTAGAATATCACCGATTCGCTCATATTATGTTCCTGTGATCGTATATTATATTTGCATTATATTATCTTCTCCACTTAAAATAAGAATTTCATCAATAGTAATAATGGCTAGATCAATATTATTTATTTCACCATCGAATATTAATGACGTAAAAATTATTTTTATTCTTAAAAATCACGTTGCATGATTTGTGATTTTACTAGGAACGAGAAAGAACGATGTATGTGTGTGTGGCGAGAGAGAGAGAGAGAGAGAGAGAGAGAGAGAGAAAGAGAAAGGAAGTACAACGATACGAACCCCACGCTTTTATAGCGCTCCATTTGGCGTAACAACGAGCGTGGAAACTTCTTTTAGTGCCGGGCTACAGATTCCGGGGCGAAACATGCGTACGATTATGGGGTTTCAGATTATCAATTTGTTATACCGTGTTTATTATTTGAGCTCTGTGCAAATGGGTGAGCCACCCGCATCTTGCTACTGAAACCCCTTGCTGCAGCTGTGAAGCGTCGTACTTGGACGGTTTGGGGGATAATCTGGAATATTTTATGCGGCGTTATTCTTCCAGATGTTTTGCACCCAATGTGCGAGTTGGGAAAACTGTATGTATGAGAACGTATGAGAACTGCGTTTCTTCCTTTCTATAATTTATCTTGCCAGATTGAACTCCACGTTGAATATTTGCAATCATGTCGTGTAACAACTGCTAACATTTCGCGCTGTTTGAACAGTAGTGAATGTAATACGTGTTATAAGCATATGTCAAACATAATCGCGTACATATAGCCTTTAATTTGTCGATTGGCAAATTTAGCAGAATAAAATTGTTTATTTATCATTACTACGGATTTAATAATAATAGATAAAATAATTTTTTTTTACTTTTAATATACATTTGCCGTATTATGGACAGTATTTTTAATAAAAAAAAGAGAAAGCAGTACAGATTATAATCATTTATATTAGCCAATATTGGAGAGATCATTATTTTCAGCGTATATATATTCTATAATTATACATTAAATTCGTTTTCATAAATATTGTCATTATTTTAAGACTTTTTTTCCGATGAACAACCGCAGAGACAGCGGGCTGTGGAATATCATAGTAACTGGGATTTTCTAGAAGAGTTATCTCTAATTCAGTGAGGATTTACTTGCCAATGAATCTTTAAATTAGATGCTCCGTTCTTTTCGTACTGCGCTCCTTCCCGAAGGGTAAAGCCTCGCTCGCTCAATCACCTATATCATGGAATCGCCAAGTATAGTCAATTCCTTCCACCCTTCTTTCGTTATCGAGTCTTTACGTTCTCCTTCCCCTCAGTTTCGCTCCGCTTATACCGATATTTGTGTCTCGCCGTAGGCTCTTAGAAAATCCCCGCTCTTACACTCGTCCCCGTTATTTTCACTCCGTCCGTACGCGAGTCTAAAACTACATCGTAATTTTATTTAACAATTTTGCGAGCATCAGGCTGGGCTATTAGTGACATCAAGTATCACCGCTATATTAATTAATGACGGAAACGCAGTTCGTAGACGTAGTTTAGTAAGAAGCAGTTCGGCCACGAAAATGGCCGTCCCGCAGGAGGGTGTAAGACGGAAGACGGAAGATAGCGGCGCGAGGATGATGATAATCCAGCTTCTAGCCTAGTCCTATCCCGAGGGATGCAGGGATTAATTGACACATCGGCGTCTTGGAGGAGTCTGCTGGGCTGACGCCTCTGCTTTGGCACCCACCGACGTGACTGATGAGACGCCTGGAACAAGGCGTCGGGAAAAACACTCGTAGATTCGTGGCTTTTTTGTAGAAAAGGTATCCAGCAAGAATTACCGACGAAGCATGGAACGTCGGTCGCGCCTCTTCTCCTGGCAAATAACTCAACTAATCAGACCACGTTCTCCTTCATCGTCCCATCCACGGCGTTCCCGAACTAAAACATCTCAGCTGGAGGGCACGTAGATGTAACAGATTGAAATTTAATACGAGCAGCATGGTGACACATACGAAAAGACGAGATGTTACTTAAGGTTTCGTAGGACACACCATCCTCATAACGGCGGAAATCGCGCCGTCTTGGATAGAAATTCATTAAATGTGGGTTCGACAGTTAAAATCGTAATAACGGGATAATGAGTTTAATTTCTGTTGGTTATAATTCATGGAAGTTTAGATAGGTATGATTAAAGCAATAAAAAAGTGTTTTTTTTTTAAATAAAATAGCATAAGTTCAATTGAAAATTGAATAATAAAACGATGTGAAATTTTTATTAATATTGTCATAACATTTATGTTTTCCTATGAGACGCAATTTTTTAAATTATACATTTAGAAAATTAGATTTAAATTTTAGTAGATTTGCAATTTTTATACGCTCTCATCGTCAAAAGTATAATTATAAAGAGGTGCACGATTATTATATATAGGCTCGCAAATCACAAAGAGATGACCGAGGCAGCACGCGATAAGGGATAACACGGTAGTTGAAAGCAAAGAGCCGACGTGTACGAGGCGTCGGTGGCGGCACCCCATGTGAGTTATGGCCGTCCCGACGCTCTCTCCCGCTAGTCCTGGGCTCAATTTACAGATGATTCCGCGTGTTACCGCCTGGCCAGCGGCTGGTTAACCTCCGTGCCAAACACTTAATCTTCCGACGTGTCCTGCGGACGGTCCGACCACGTTTTGGAGTCGGCACGACGTTAAATCGCCGTTGTAGACGCAAGATCGATGTGAGAAAGAGAGAAACAGGGATAGATAAATAGACCAAGACGTTTGTAGGGTCCCGGACGTTGTCGAACGGCGACCCTAGTGGCCCATAAAGTTAGCCAACCCTTCAAATTGTATCGCTATCCACTATTATATGAGCTTTATTTGACGCGCGAAGCATCACGCAATTCAACGTGTAAAATTAATTCACATTAAAAAGATATAATCATATTTTATTTATTATTGTTTGTTGCATTTGAAACAAGTATAAATAATTTATTGGAAGTCTTACGAATTAATTTCGCTACGTTAAGCCGGGAAAATCTGTGGACACTCGTTTTCCGAACAACTTGTTAGCTACTGTAAGGCTACCGCCAATAAATTTGTACCGCGTATCTCTCCATAAATTTATCGGTCCTCGATTGCTTCGCAATAGCCAACAAGTTGTTGGAAAAACAAGTGCTGCGGATATCTCTTTGATATAACATACCGAAGTTAATTCGCGACACTTTTACTTCGTAAAGAAGTACCGTACAGAATTTCATTGAATCTTCATGTGTAATAAAGCAATAATAATTGAAATACGTAGAACGTACTTTTTGACGTATTTTGCGAGGCAATACTTTTACAGTACATTGTAAATTACGAATGTGTGAGTTGTGTGAATTAGAAAGCACAATTCTGTTCAAAAGTCACATGTTGGTCATTTTCGAAATATTTCTTCCATCTGGATGCCAGATATTTTGAAATAACGAAGCAATACATCATAATTTGCTATTCAATGTTTGTAAATGTCCAGAAATTTGTGGTATTTGCACATTATGTGTTCCAGATGTGCGGCATCGCTAGTAGGAAAGGAACGGCTTGAAACTATTAGCCGTCGGATAGGCACCCCGTGGTGAGCCACAATGTAGTGGCGAGGAGTCAATAGACTCCTAACGCTGTAAATGGCATGCCAAATCCTAACGGTCATGTTAATTGACATTCGCATTTGTCATTATATTGTCCTGACAAATTTCGTGACGTTAAGTAAACCCGTGTTTACTTAACATAGACGTCAATATAGAAATAATGGGCATCAGTACGTCGATTTCTCGATTTTCGATTCGCTAAGATTTTTACATTAATATAACTTTTAATTAATATAATATTTTAATCAACAATAAAGTTTAGAATGTCAGTCAGTTAATTTTTTATTAATCTTTTACAAATAAGGATTAAATACTTAGTTTCAAAATTATTAATTATTATTAATCATTACTAAGAAATAATTGGCACAGTAATTTTTCGATAAATATATTATTATCATTAATGCCTTTATAATAATGGTAATTCAAAGATTTTTATTTTTCCTTATTTTTTTAAGCTCTAATGCTTTTAAAACTGTCTTTCTTCAACAGTTGTGTGTAATGAAATTAAACAATTTTGGTAACTTACCTTGCTGATTACTTTTTCTAGTAGTTTTCTTTTCTTTCATCCAAGGATATTCAGGAACGTTGACACCCGAGGGGTCAGCGACACCATGAGGATCCATCATAGTATGATACGCGGGATGATGAGCACCAGGACTGATGGAACCGCCGGTCCCCGGCGAGTGTTGCAGGCTACTATCCCCAGCTAATTGCGGCAATGCCGTCATGAATTCGGCCATGGAAGGCTGACTGTTGATGAAGCCGGTTTCGGCGGATCCGCATGTTGGATCCATGGCTGGATGATGAGTTCCGTGCGGGGGCAGCCCGGCTGGGGTACTTGCCCCCGCGGCCACCGTGGCCAGCCAGAAGCCGCCCCCTCCGTCGTTCGCCAGGACGGGTGTCGTCGGCCTCGTCTTCACGGTCGATAGCTCTTTACTCGCGTGGACCAAATTCTGAAGATGATTGTTGAGCTGCAGATTGCGAGAGCTGGACAAATGCGATTGGCGCGGATCTTCTTCGGGATGTACCAATGTTTGTTGCTTACTACGCATGGAACAATACACTAACTTGCACTAACTTACAGTTTGTTTCTTCTGATGACGAGTGTAACAATCAGAGGATGACTTATTGATAATTATTGATAAAATTTGACCGTGGATTCGTAGATTAGAGGAGATCCCCTTTCCGCGATGTCCTCCTTTGATATAATTTCGAAATGTGCAGACTTTGAAAAACACTCTGTGCACTTAAATTCACTCGATAAATGTCTCACTAAAAGTTTCGTTTATTTCTTAACTTTCAAAATGTATATTATATATATATATATTTGTATCAAGTATTTCTATATTAAAACATCGCATTAAATGTCATTAATTGTGGAAATTCGTTAAGCCAAAATTTGCTTTTAAGAAGGCTAAAGAAAAGCATGAATCTGCTTGTATAACCTATCACTTATTATCATTTCTTTCGTCTATTGTTATACGCATATGATGCAAAACTTTATTCATTCTTTACTTTAAATAACACAAAATCGATTACTTTTCTTTTTTATGCGAATTTTTCAGGTATCGCTTTTCCTTGATTTGATTACACTATTACTTACTTGCGTTACTTGGTTTATGCCAAGAGATACATTGATCAACGATTGGTTATGTACGTATTGTTTGGTACGTATTCACTACACACTGTGGTACTCACTGGTATATTATCATCTTTATCATAAACTGTATATCCGTACTCATCTTCTTTTATAAACTAACTGGAATAATTTGTCTCATGATATTTAATCTGACATCAACGAGAAGCAGATTTTTGGAGCACGCTACGAACATGACACTGCTTACTCGCGGTCGACATAGCTCGGACAACAGATCCAACTGATTGATCCGCCATCTGAATACGGGAGAACAACCAAGCACAGATCACCACTGTCACACGTAGCCGCGACGAGTTGATCGATAGTCCGACCGATCGACGGAGAACGCCGTGCCGAATCGCGAGTACCGCGGCTGCCGTCACCGTGCCGATCGGCCGAAACCCAAGGCAAGCGGGCTAGGGTACGCCAAGCCAGTCACCGATCGCGGTATACTTGCTAAGTGACGGAGGAGAGAGAGAGGATGTAGAGATAGCAGCCGAGGGAAGGTGGGGGGTCCGAGAGGTCCGTGGTGGAGGTACCCGTTGAGCGAGAAGGTGCGGCAGAAGAGGCGAAGGACGTCCCGTAGAAAGAGACGGTCGTCTCCAGTCAGGACCGAAATTTCCACGATCTTTTTCGCCTCTCCGGTGTTCCCGGTGTCTCTGTTGTTACTGCTGTCTCTTTCCTCGTTCCGGGAGGGGGTGGCTGGGAGTCCACTTCGGCATCGAGGTGGAAGTCGTCCTTTAATGTGGCGGCGGCCCGATCACGTGACTTCGCTCGCCAGAATGGAGCGACCAATCGTGAAGCGGTAACGCGAGTGGTGAGGCACAGCCCTCCGCCGACGTAGGCGGGCTGGCCTGTCGTGGCGACGGTGGCCTTGGAGGGCTCGGAGGGCACACAGCCAGGAGGGTACGACGACCAGGTCCGTGCCGTGAGAGTGCAAGCGGGCGACTCTCGTGCGGACGAGCACGAGGCCCGTTTGGGCGGCCACGGTTACCCGGCGCAACTGTGGGCGGTACGCGCGAGCGCGTCGTTCGGTATCCCGCCAAGTGGTGGGGAACTTTCTCACGTGCTCGGCCACGCGGTCCTCTACCTTCGGTGGATGAGTCTTCGAATCAAGGTACGACAGTCTCTCGCTTTTATTAACCCACGAATGAATACCGCGAATTCATCGTCAAGTCCGCGAAAACGACCGGAAACGTTAAAAACAGTTCGTCAAATCGCGCTACTTATTCTCGACACGGTCCGATTTGCTTTGGACCTGGTCCAACGATGCCTTTTTTCTTTGCATTTGACGTTACGTGTAATAATAATAGAAAAGTCTCTGAATCGGGGCCATTTCTCTTGGAATAATTCAAATATGTGATTCGTATTTACAATTGTCTGTTAAGATATTTTGCTTTTTTTACAAGTAGTTACAGCTGTTTTTCCATTTATTGTTTTCATTTATTCATTTATTTATTATTTGGCAATAGGAAATTTATCAATTAACACTCGATACGAGAAGTTTTAAATTTTCACCCGCAATCAATCCATGTACATCGTTGAAATGTAAATCGTTATATTTGTATGCACGTATATAGATTTATATCATGCAAATACGATATACAGAATGCTTCTTCAAAAGCGAATTTGGTACTGGGTAGGTTCACATGGATCGAATGCACCCGTGTCGTTATTGCAACGGTTAGAGTTGCTGGAGGCGTGCCGACTGACATCGCGACGGCTCGCAGTGGAGCAGTTTTGATGACAGATTACCCTGATCCGCTTTGTGGAGGACCTTTCATTTAGACAGGCAGTTTGATTGAAAAGTTTACTGTCGCTTCCGAAGAAAAAAATTTGTGCCACTACCCTCATCGAGCGATCCGCATGAAGCAAGTCGTTTACTCGCTAGAATCGATCCCTTTTAGCATGAGATCAAACGTGTCCTACATATGTTGCAGCAGTTAAATAAACAGTATCTCACATTGCAGTAGAGTGACAATGATAAAATTTGCGAATGTTAGATTCATATATTCTCTTTTAACTTTACATAAATCTTTATGCTAAAGATTTCATATTTTAAAATAAATGTTTGAGCAACAGAAATAATACTAATAATTGTTAAAATCTACTGAAATATAAAATGCGAGAAATTGAAAAAATTGTGAAAACAAAAAGAGAAGATTATCAGTAAAACAAAATATATTTTAATCGTTTTGCGCGCGCGTTTGTGTGTATGCGTGTGGATTCGTATTAATAATTTATTCAATTGCGTCAGTGGGTTAGAAGGAAATTTCCGAGGGGTGGCGGGCAGGGGTGTCAACGATTCCGGAGCGCGAAGCGAGCGCGGATGGCTAGAGAGGAGGCGAAAGAGGGAGTAAGCGGGAGGGTACACGCGGAGAGAGACGAGAGAACGGAGAACACCCTCCACATCTGCCACCAGATTTAACTATACATTACAGACACACGATATGTCAAAGTCCTATACTTCATATCGACTCTGCCATTTATTAAAAGTTTCATCGCGCGCGCCTCGCTCGCGCCACCGATGTTCGGCAGCCCGACCCCTTCTTTCAGGCGCACTCCGAAAACATATAGGAAGAAAGGCCCCGAAATATACGAACGAAAAGTTCGAGAAAAGAGCGACGGGGGAAAAAGGGGTGCGTTCCTCAGATCGACACAGTTGCAGCGCTTCGCGTGATAAAAGCGACTGCGCTATCTTTCTTCGGCGATTCTTTATTTTACTCTCTTTGCCGTGTAAGGCGGAGTTTCCCCGATAACGGATTCTTCGGGAGAACTGCGCGGCGATAATTTTCACCGTTTAAATCTCTATACGTTCGTTTTATTAATCTCAAAATAATTCACCGTTTTGCGCTTTGTAACGTTTTGAAAGTTGTCACCAATATTTTTTTCATCTTAGAACAGCACGTTGTGCTGCGACATTTTGTCGAGAATAATAAGTTATATTTTGAACAATTTTGTGCATCGCGGGAAGCCTTAATGTCAGAAAAATAAGATTCTTTCGAGCTCGCTCTTTTTGTGACGACCGCGGAATTTCTGCGTGTCGGATCTTCGCGTTTCCTCCGGCTGCTGCCGATTGCGAAATGAAGTTTTATATTAAGCTTGGAGTTCTCTCTCTTTTTTATTCCACGCGCGCGTATCTCGCCGCTCGTTTTTTTCTTTTTCTTTCGTGCCATCGCTTTTTCTCCCACGCTCGTCCTCGCCCTTTATGTATTTACGTACCGATAGATCGTTATATCGGCGTTTGCATATATATTGACGTTGCTGTCTCTCCTGCGACGACGCGTGATATATGTGATATAGGGTATACGAAAAATGCGTACCTGAGTCTTTGCAATAACTCAAGCATTCGTCGTCACCAACGGCTTAATAATATGTGCTGTATATCAAGTGGCACGATAAAACACATTTTTGCTACGTACATATGCGAACAAAAAATTTAGCTATGGTATTTTGTAAGAGATCCAGAAGTTGTTTAACATTTACTAGGTTATGGTCCTTTCTTCAACGAGTCGTTATAATTAGCCAAAAAAAATACGTACTGAAAGCGTTTTCTACCATTAAAAGTAAATCATCTTTCATCGCCATTTTAGCATAGCAACCGGCACGGGTCCACGAGTAGGGCTCGACCTGTCAATCTCACCGGATCACTGAGACGGGTCTTTGCCGTCCTTGCTCCACTGGAGAGGAGAGCCTCGCTTTTCGTACCTAAAACTCCTCTCCCCACTTCGGCCCTCTTCCAACTTTTTTCTTTTTCGTCGTCTGGGGTAAAAGCGAACTCGTTAGACGCTCCAAGTGAAATTTTCTCTCGTCCCGCTGGGTAGCTAGTATGCCACCGGAAATGCTATAGAGCGCCTACTTTCACTACCGCTTCTTAAATTCACCTTTCTTGTCGCTTATCACGTTGCTTCGAGGATCGATTAAAAATTGTTGCTCAGCTTTATACGAGAAAAGTTTTGAGTAAAGATCAGATTTTTATTAAAATAATCTACACAACGTGCAATTTAAGACCCATTACTCAGATAGACTTCTAATAATCTTCTTTAAATACGACTTAAAGACAGAAACTAATTAATTTAATTTGTAAGTCGTATACATTTAAATTAGCCGATAACAGTTTGATGATAATAATTATATAGCTGTGTAATAAAAGCAAGTATGATTGTTAAACGATCAGCAGGGATGAAAATCATTCGTAAAGCGAATCTGAAGTAAGGGATTGTTATCACAGGGATATATACGTAAAGGTGAGCTGGTTCGTGTTGAACAGCAACGGTGGTTCTTGCGATTAGCGCGCGACTAAGGGGAACTCCGTGGCTGAGGAGTCTGAGGTTTTAATTAAGCATTCACTGCGGATGATATCGCATGCCTCTTTATACTTCATAGCGGCCAGATGTTGCTACGAGAATGTTCCTT